GAGCTGTCCATGGCGTAGAAGATGTTGGCCGTGGGGGGGAAGACCAGCTCTGCGGGAGAGAGGGGGTGGATGGAGGGGGTGGCCCCAAGAGGAAGCCGAGCTGCCCCAAGGCCCCTCCCTTCTCCCCGGCACTCCCGGATGCCCCTATAGGGGTGTTTTAACGTGGCATCTCAGGACCTCAATCCGCCAGGGCAGAACTTTCCCTCCTGGAGTACCAGACCACCATTCCCATTCCCATTCCCACCCAGCAGAGATCGGGAACTGGAGTCCACGATAGGCAGAGGGAACTGGAGCGCACCCAAGCCCACTGTGCGGGAAAGAGTTCCTCCTGGTCGGACTCCATGGCCCCAAAGCCTCCTGTCCATTGAGGATTTGGGAACTTCTTCCTGAACTCCCAAGAGCTCCAGGCTCACATCCTGCAAGTGACTACATCCCCACAAGTGGAAGGCGAGCCCCCCAGGACCATTAAGTGCCAGCCAAGCACGAGAAATATTGGTTGAATGGGAGGGGTCTCGGAGCCGCTACACGAAGAAGTAGTGTGCAGATGGAGGGATCCGAGACAATTTGGACTCCTCTTGGCAATATTTTTATATGTTCTGAAGGCCGCATGGTGGGGGGGTATTTCCTGCCGGGCACCTTCATTCTGGGAAGAACATTTTATCTGTCCAGGAGCAGCTGTTTGGACAAGAACTTCTGAATTTAACCAGGGCAGCAAATGCAGACCAGAACTATCCTCTGACCGCCCCCCCGCCCCCATCAAAGGCTCACAGCTAAAGTTTTGGGGAGAGGAAGGAGCGTGCCGAGATTTTGCTTTCCGGAATCGGGTCTCCACTGGCCACAGCATTCCAGGGCCCTCTGGGGCAGCCAGTCCATTCTCCACCAGCGCATCACCCCCCACACCCACCTCGGCCTTCTGGCAACAGCTGCACCAGCTTGTAGTCGGTGGCCAGTTCCTGGTTCTGGTTATGCTTCTCCAGCACTTTTGCCACCACCGAGGGAGCCTTATCTTGGCTTGTTACCTGTGGAGGACAGGGAAAGGGGCTCAGCCACCCGCCCCGCTGACGCCCCCAGCCATTCCAGAGAAAAGAACCAAGGGACAGGCAGAAATGCCATCCAGTGCTTGCCAAGCCAGGTTTCCCACCTTTCCACGCCTCCCCTACTCTCTTCAACATCACCAGACCTTCCAGGGGACTTCCAAGTGGAAGGGAGGTGTTGCTGTTCGGAGGACAGGCTCAGCACCACTTGCTAAAACCTGGATCTGAGCCAGGATTAATTTACTGTAAGTGCAGGCACACTGTTACAGAAGCCTTAACTGACCTAAACTACAAGAATTTGTTAATTAGCTGAATCTGCATAAGCCCTAACAATGATATAAATGCCCATCACACCCAAGCATTTCCACCACCCTCATTTAGAAGAGACATTCCCTGTGAGAATGGGAGGATGCCTCTTAGAAGGCGGCGTCCTCAACTTTTGCAGCACCCCTGGATCCTCCCATTCACTCTATTAACAAAACCTTTCCGGGACTAATCAGCTCCAATTCCTCTCTTTCTAACCACCGTCCTGAGGGGCTGTGACCGACTCCACCCTCTCACCAGGATGCTCTTGTACAGGGTACCGTTCTGCAGCGCCAGGCTGACCCGGATGATGCGGCAGTCCGAGGGGGAGGCGCCCCCCAGGTCAGGGGCCTGGGGAGAGACGGAGCCGCAGGGGGCCGAGCGCCGGTGGCCCCGGATGAAGCCGCCCCCCTTGGCAGGGAGGGGGGCCAGGCCATCCCCAGGGGAGGACAGGGGTGACGCGTCTAGGACTGAGACGGAGGGCCACTTGCTGTGCTGCAGGAGGAGAAAGGAGGTGAGGACAAGGAAGCCTGAAAAGCACTGTGTCCGGGGAAGGAGCCCTGCCTGGTCCCGGGGGGCTGAGCTGGACTGCCCAGAGAGGGGAGGGCAGAGGGATTCACTGGGCACGTGGGGGAGGCGAAAGCTGCCTCTGGTCCTCCCTGCCCAGAAAAAGGGCTGAGGTCCCCAGCAGGAAACTGGCTCTGGGGACACAAGGGGCCCCTGCTGTTCACCAGCTGCACCAGGTCTTGCAGGGGGCGAGAGTGTAACGTGCTCAGCTCCACAGCTAAAGGGCCAAAGGGGGTCTGGGCTGGGCCACTGGTGGCAGCTTCGGAACGACGCAAAAGTTGGGGGAAAGGAAATTACTGGCATTTCTGGCAGGAAGACCGCATCCTGACCAAGCCCCTTCCAGTCTTACCAAGCCTGAAAAGCAGAACCAAAGGAAAAGGGATCCCGGTCTCCACTGCGTACCCCAAGGAGCACCCAAGGGCTGCTTTAGTGTGCTCCCAGTTGGAAGCGGAAAAACAGCCAGGGAAGGGGCAACAGAGTGGTTCCGGTCAAGGGTTTTGTCCCAGGCAGAAGGACTCCCTTCCCTGCAGAGGGGCACGAAGTGCTGGGCAGGGGCTCTTCCGAACCAGTCAGATCGTGGAGAACAACTTTGGGGACCCAAACCGAGACCAGGCGAGGGGAAGAATCCCACCCCCCTGGCTTTGCTCTGAAATAACACTGAGGACTAGAAACTTGGGGAACAAGTTGGCTCAGCTGGTCCCGATCATGAGGTCAGGGCCAGTTTGGGGATCATCCCTCAGCCTCCCCCTAGCAGGAGCAGAGGCGGAGGAGTCCGGAGGGAGGGGCAGTCCTGAGTCACCTGGAAAGCTCCCTGGGTGGTGAGAGAGGCAGCTGATGGCCCCAGCAGGTTGGGGGAGATGTGGGGGGACCCAGGTCTGTCCCAGGGCAGCGGGGCGCTCACTCCCAGAGAGGCGATCAAGCTGCAAATGAAACATGGGTCAGCGGAAAGAGGGGGCAGAGGCCCCAGAGACCCTCCCCTCCGGGCCCTTACTCTGTGCAGCGCGTGATCACCAAGGTGGGCTTGCTGGGCCTGGCAGGGGTCGCTCCCTCCATGGGGGGTTCGATGGCACAGGACAGCTGGTAACTGGCAGAGAGAGGCAGCGGTGAGCGGGAAGCAGGAGAGGAGTGGGGTAGGCCCGGGCCCCCAGAGCCCCAGCACCCACCTCTGGGCCTCACGGAGGGGGGACAGGCGCCGCAGCCACTGGTGGAGGGCCTGGTCGGGGGCCAAGGCGTAGTTGCGGCACCTGGCCTGCAGGAGGCGCAGCCGGGTGAGGATCTCGAACTCCTGCAGGGAGAAGAAGAAAGGCATTGGGGGGCATTGGGAGGCCCTTCCTGGGGGGGCAAGGGGGTCCTCTCCTCCGCTCCCACCGCATGTACCTTACGGGGCTTCTCGAAGTTGATGTATCCACTGTTCTGCAGAGAGAGAGCATGTGCCCAGTGAACCCACAGCAACCAGCCTGACCCAAGGCTGCCCCCCAGCCAAAACCGCAACCAAGACCCCTGGGGGGCCACCCCACCAGCTGAGCCCCACTGCCTGCATGCAAAACCCCAGGATCCGGGCTGGGCAGCCACAGGCTCAGGAGATTCATTGCAACTGTGTCGCCTGTGCGGTTGCAGAGCAGATCCTTCTTTTGCATTCTGGGCACGTTTGGAAAGATGGCACAAGTCGAGAACCACCTCTGGCACCTGGCTTGTGGCTGGCCCCCCCTTCCCCTGGCCTCCCCCAATGCAAACTTTGCCTATCACTTTTTGTCAAAGTCACGCTTCACCAGTTGAATTCCCACCTGCCACAGAGCTGTTAACAGCAGGGTCAAACCGCAACCCTTCTTCAAGCTGAGACACAAAAGCAGACGGGCCCAAAGGCCGTCCGGACCTTCCCCCCCCAACCGGCCATCCTTCACCCCCCCCAATCCACAGCACCGTCCAAGGCGGGGGAAGGCAACCACAGGCCCCCTTGGAAGAGGCTGCTGCGTGCACACCCCCCCCCGCCCGATCGGTCAACCCAG